TCAACTGTGAATCTAAAAGTTTTATAGCCACTTTTGAAAGAGATGTATCTTTGCTCTGGAAATTGTTATTGAGTATGTTAAAGTTGTAATGAAATACTTCTTCCCCAAAATAAATAATAAACAAATAAATAAAAATTGAATTCTGAGTCAAATCTTCCACCCAGATGGGGATTCCACTGGGTGGGTCACTTACCATTTTGGTCTACTGGTAGATTTCACCATAGGGGCCATCCCATCTCTATAAAGACTCTTGGTTTTACTGAAGTTAACAATGTTGAAAATGACTCTCTGTAAAAGAAAAAAAGTCCTCAGAAATATATGGTACACAGATTGCTACTCCCTGATAATTAAGACAGAAAATCATAAATATGGTTAAAGGAAACCATGTAAGACTATCTTCCCACAAAACAATAGCACTGACAGGATTTTAACGTGTTTGTGTCAGTTTAGCCTGCCAGTTTAGTGATTATGTTTCTTTGGAATTACTGTAGTTGATTTCCAGTCATTAACTTTGGAACCCTAGAAGTCTGACATTTAATCTCAACACTATCACTTTAGGGCTGTATGAATTTGTTTCAGTATCATGAGTTGGCAATGGTTCCCATGTTGAAAAATGAGAATAATAGTACTTACCTAATGGGGTTTCAGTGAGAAATAAAGAAGTTAATGAATGTTCAGTGTTTGGAATCTTGTTTGGTAATATAAAATACTATATGTTTCAGGTAATATTGTGTCCTCTGTCTCTAGGATGACCTACAATTTTCCTGGAAATATATAATATAATAAGGCTAATTAGCAGTACTTTTGAAGTTTAATGAGACTAAGATACTCAGTACGAAATTATAACTAAAATATTCACCAACTACTTGAAACTCCTTTGACAATTTCTAGAAATATATGGCCTCTTCCATGTGTTTTTTGTGTTACCTTCAGGTATAGGTCCAGGGTACTGGGTTTCTCCCTAATTTCAGCATACATTTGTAGAGCTATAGGGGCTTAGGTAAATATGCTTTCATCCTGGAGTTTGACCCTTAAAATTGGAGAGTTGAGTATTCAAGATTTCTATGGCCTTTCTAGGGGGTTGGTATAGATAAAAAGATAAGATCTTTGTTTTACTAAACAAGTTTTGGGGATTTTCTTTGTTTTTTGTTTGTTTGTTATTGCAATAGCTGAAGATAAATTGTGAAAGAAAGATAATCTGTTTTGAAACGCACACAAGACTACTGATATATTGCAAGATACATAAGGATTAGAGCTAAAGCATGCGGAATATAGAAAGTAAAGAAGTTTCTCGGAGCTCACTATGGCCTGGCCTTTCAATCCACATAGAGTGAATGAGATGAAGCATCAAAATTCATAGACTACTTCGACCAACAATCATTCATGTTACACATGTTATAGAATTTATGAACCTATATGCTTTCATATGCTCCTATAACCATATCTCTATTTTACACATATGGAAACTAAATCCCAGAAATTTGCTCAACATGCTCAAAGCCATTCAATCAGCAGATGAGAGAACTGATATTTGAATGCAGGGCATAAAAGCATAAGATAGTCATGAGTTTTACTCTCAAGGAGTTGCTTAAGTTTTCAAAATTGTATAATCCTAATTCAATCTGTTTTTTAAGAATAAGGTCAAACAAAGGAACTATGACAGCAAATTTTAAGCATTTAAATTTTGTTTTCTTAAAAATAAAAAAAAATCATGACCACTTCCTTGGTCCTTGATTGGTCCTTGTATTTGGGACAATCATAAAATGCTTTGTCCATGAAATAAGCTCTTATGAGTAACTTGTGTTTTCTTTTCTCCTCAGAGAACCAGCCATTAACCCCAACTCCAGACATTTCAGTTTCATACTTCTCTTCTTCCATCAAATTAAGTCATCAAGAATGTCCAAGGCTGTTCCATTATTAATAACCTAGACCTGCTGGTTGTCAGTTCAATTACTTTTCCCAAGGTCTTGGCTACTATCTGATTTAGGAAAATCAATATCAGGGGACAAATGGTCTTTGAACCATAATCCCCTTTCTGTTTTGAGACCCCAAGTGTCAAATCTATTTCCAGTGAACTTGGAATCCATATTGCATTTTCAGGATCTAGATAAATTGTAAATAGAAGGCAAAAGATAATAAAGAAGTTATATGCACATATAAAGCTGTAATAAGTGGGATATAGAGTGGAATGTGTATTAATTATTAACATCTTTCTACATGTACTTTGAAAGTTCCCAGTTATTTTAAACATTCTATATTACTTATCTATTCTACCCACAAACAAAATTGTATATTTTAGACCAATTTTTGACAATGAGACAGTTAAAACTAACAAGATCCAGGTATATTACCTTTATCCCATGAAAAATAATATCTAAACAATTAGCTGGTAGAACTAGGCCTTAAGTTTTAAATTGTTCATTCCATAAAGGTCCTTAACTTTTTGTGGTTAATTATTCCTATAATCTCTAAACATGCATTTAAAAGAAAAAAAATTCTATTCATTTAGCAAGGTAGCATTTGGTCATAAGAATCAAAGATATTTGGAATCAATGTAAGAAATCTTATGGTAAAAATATTAATTAACAATTCTAAGCACTCACTATGCACCAAATTCTGACTTTGCACTTCATTCACATTATTTCAGTAGTTTGAATATTGCAATTCGGTGAAGATCAGAATTACCTGAAGAGGTTTTATGAACTATAGACCCTTGGACTCCAACACCAGAGACTGACATTTGACACACTGTCTCATTTGTTTAGAGAACAATGATATGCTTAACAGAAATTCTTTGTTATCATTGTTATAGTTTGATTATGAAAATGGTGTATTGGGGCCTTGTTTGCTAGCTGATAGGCTTTAGAGTAGTGGATTGATCCTAAGGGCTCTAAGCTAAACAGTATATTAATCCCTTTTTAAATTCATAATATGATGGCATTATCAGAAAGTGGTTTAAAGCAAGAAGTGGAACCTAGGTGGGGGAAATGGGTCACTGGGGGAGCTCTCTAGAAAAACAGAGGTATCTTATCCCTGGGCTCTTCCATAGCTCTCTGCTTCTTGTTTTCCAGGAAGTGGCCAGTATCTTCTAGCATATTACCCCTAGGCTTGATGGTCTGTATTACCTCTGCCCAAAGGGACCAGGCTAAGGAAACAGATCGATAATTCTGAAACTGCTAATCCAAAGTCAATCTTTCTACCTTTAAACTATTTGCCTCACATATGTGTCACAGGGGACACAACTCTAACACAATGACTTCAAAAGAATTAAAAGATACTGAAATTAACTAAACTAAAATAATCAACAGAAGTCGAATGTGAATCAAATTCATTAAGCAATAACAAGGTAATGGACGTTACAGCCACAGAGTTCAGATATTGAAACCCATTTCTCACTTCTGTGAGCTCGCACAAATTAATTTTTCTTTTACAGATACCTGAGTTTTGCGTGTTGGGTTTGGTTTGTTCTGTTGCAATGCTGAGAAGAGAACCCAGAACTAGCATTCTACCAATCCATGCAAGCACTCTCATATCTCCTACATAGCCATATATCCCAGTCTCTGGATATTGATTGTTTACTTCTAAAACTAGAAAACTAATGGTATCCTGACAAAATAATTATAGGAGTGTTAGATTATATGAGTAAATAGATGCTCAATGTTTGGTGATCCAATATCTTTCTCTAAATAAAACCAAAGCATTTAGTACAATAGCTGTTTTTCTTTACATTTATTTGTTCTATTTTTATTGATTATATATATACATACATATATATATATGTGTGTGTGTATGTGTATATTCTTTGTACATAGTGATGGGTGTCATCAAGATATTTTAATTTAAATATATCATATATATTGATGACATCCATCCTTTACTTCTCCCCTTCTCATATCCCCTTCTGTGAGTCCCAGTCCTTTTCCCAGATAGCCCTGCTAATGTCCATGTCATATGTATGTGTTCATATATATGTTATTATTATATATTATATAATTATTTTTATTTATCTATATAAAATCTGTAATTCACATGTGAGAGTAAAACATGATTCTTGTCTTTCTGAATCTGGCTTATTTTGCTTAATATGATGATCTCCACTTCAAATTATTTTCCTGAAGGTGTCATAATTTTGAAAATTTTATTGCAGAATAAAATGACGTAATATATATACCTCATTTTCTTTATTCCTTTGTGTACCGATAGATATCTAGACTATCCATAAATTGAATATTATGAATATTTCTGCAATACTGACACCTCTGCAGAATGCTGATGACACAGAATATTTGGCCCAGGCATGTAAGATTTTCATAAATAAAGTCAACAGAGACTAAACTTTTACACAAGTTTGTAAAATACCAGAAAAAATAATTGATACTAAGAGGAACAATAAGTCAGAGAACAAATAGCTGAATCAGACCACAAGACTTTAGATCATAAACCTCTGGCAGACAAAAAACAATTTATGTGACTAGCAATTTAAAAGAATGTTTCAAATATAAGAGAACAATAAAAAAATCACTCTTAAAATATGGTAGAATTTAAATATTCAGTTCTCAGATTAAAATGTATAATAGATATCACTGCAAAAAAGAACCACAAATTGTAAGGAACAGCTGAAGAAATATACAGAATGAGGGAGACAGAGCAAGTAAGATAGAAAATACTAACAAGACATGGATAACAAAGAAATAAAGTTCCAAACCCACTTCATTAAAAAGTTATCTAATGAGAGAAAACATAAAGTGGCAGAGGCAAAACTGAAAAACGGCTGAATATATTCTCAGAATTGATGAAACACAAAAATATTCCTATTTAGGACTCACAAGTCAGTTCAATGTAACTTATAGATACGTCATAATAAAACTTCAGAACACCAAAAATGAAGACAATAGTTTTAAAGTAAACCAGAGAAAAATGCACATGCCTGGGAAAAGTTTAATAAATTCATCAAAGCTATCATCCAAAACTAAGGGCAAAATACTTTTTCAGGAAAATCAAACATAAAATGTTTGGCCACAACAGGTGACAATTAAAGGAACTACTATAGAATGTAGTTTGGAGGAAGAGATAGTGAACAGGAAGTGTAAGAATAGCAAGAGGCCACAAAACTGAGAAACAGGGAAATCTATGTAAGAAACATCTGCATAAAACTATTAACATGATATAAATTCAGGGAAAGCTGAAAAGTTTGCTTGAAAATATTGGTCATCAATACCATATATATTTTAGATGTGGTTGAAATGAAAAGAAGTACATTGTTGCAAAGAAAGATAGGAATAGTGATT